CCCGTAGTGCAAAGGAAAAATGGTAGATCTAATTTCAGGTACGAATTGACTCCTTCGTGTCGTTATTTATTATTTATTTTTATTTGGGGAAGAAAATTTCGGTTATTTTTACCGAAATTAAATGATTATTTTTCCAACTTTTGCAGAAAATTGCCTAAAATTCACGAATTCACGAAAATGGCAAAAGTTGCGCTGAGGCCAAAAGTTGCGTGCGCGAATTTCTCTGAGGACAGATTATACTTTGCCGGACCAGGAGTAGGCCTCCGCCGCCTAGGCCAAGCCAGCAGAGTCGCGAGCAAATAAGAATAGTGGACCACATGATTAGATTGACCAATTAGCCTCAAGGTGTCAGGGTCATGGGTCAAAGGGCACAGTGGCACGGTCGTGATGACTGAAAAACCCGGTAAGAGACGTCAGTCGATTGCTGGCAGTTGATGAGTGAGGACGTAGAAAACTGAGTAGGGGGGCTCGGAAACGAAGAACAGCGGGCCACTAGGCACCAGGGGCGCCACAGCGAAAGTAGTTCCGACCGGTGGTCCGGTAAAGTACAATCTTACCCGCCACTCTAATCGGTTAACTTTTATTTTCACTCCCGCACACAGATGCACTGCTTCAGGGGTCAAACTGCAGTACTGTTTGGTGGCTGGTTTGAGTTTAAGGCGATTTTGTAGACATACGATTAAACGTAGAAAGACGCTAACTATTTTTAGGTAAGGCGCCCATCTTATTTGACGTCAGACCAGGATACCCCTCCGATCACGTAACTACATCTAAGTATAGCCTACCGCATGTCACCAAGATGGAAGTGTCTATGGGTGATCTTGTAGTTCCGTTCGTTAAAGTTCACGGTCCATTTGTTGGTGCTTTTTCGGTAGTTCCCACCCCCCTTATTTGAGCCTGACCTACATCTAGATCTAGATCTAGATCTATACGTTTGATTCGCGGTGAGCTAAGATATCAAACCTAACAACTGCAAAACATTAAATTGTGGTAAAATTCAGGGGGCCCCCCTGAAACCCCCTTCCTATTTTTGTTAGGTCAGGGGGGCAAGCCCCCCCTGAAACCCCCCTACTCTTGGGGCCAAAACCCGTGAATAACAATTGCGGGGTGGGAACTACCGAAAAAGCGCCCATTTGTTTACATCCAGATAAGAAATCCAGAAGTCTTGAAGACCAAATACTATTTGAATTAGGCTACACAAAGAGCAGGGATGCAACCTAATTGCAAAACATCAAATTAGGATAAAATTCAGGGGGGCATGCCCCCCTGAACCCACCCCCACCTCCATATTTTTAGTAGGTCAGGGGGGCAAGCCCCCTTGAAACCCCCCTACTCTTGACTTTAACGAACGAAACTACAAAATCACTGTGTCTATGTATGTTGGCCAACTCTATTCTCACCCGGTGAGAATAGCGCAGGCGAGTCTTTTGGCTATTCTCACCCGGTGTGTGTTCACCGTTATAGCCTAGATCTAGGCCAACCAATTTTGCGTTCACCCTGAACCACAGAATTCCATCCTTTGATAACATAAAAATTGTAGAATTCTGCGCTGTGAACAAACGTTCCACTACTATTGTTGGCCTTTTAAACGTACAATTTTGTCTGTGGGCGCAGTGGAGAGAGAGAGGAGTAGCGCGAGAACTTCCGGGCAAAACAAAATGGCGACCCGCGTAGTTCGGCTCGGTTCGAAAAGTTAAATAGCCGTAGCATCTTTGTAGACGACCAAATTAATTTACTTTTTTGTGTTTTAACATCATTTTTAAACTTTGTTTTGGTCAATTTGATCATCCACACCGATAGACAGTATTCAGAAAGAGACAGAGAGAGAAGAGGGGAGGAGTAGATCTTGCGAGAACTTCCGGGCAAAACAAAATGGCGACCCGCATAGTTCGGCTCAATTCGAAAAGTGAAATAGCCATAGCATCTTTGTAGACGATCAAATTAGCCTACTTTTGTGCTATAACGTAATTTTTTCTTTGCTGTTATCCATTCGATCATCCACACCGATAGAAAATATTCCGAAATTAGGAAAAACAGGTTTTGTTTTACACCGGGTGAGAATAGCCTACG